CCCACCCTACCCCAGTAAGTCTTTACTGCTCATCCTACGTTGAACTAGCTTCTATTGTAGCATCTCTATCCTCTCATTTTGGTATATCCCATAATCCAGATCGCTTTTGAATTTTGGGTCATTAATATTATTTCCTCTGCTCAACAGCCAGGGCTTGAGACCTCATATTGCATCTAACTCAACTCTGCGTGCCACCCCTTACACTTAAAAATAGATATTTGGAATGACCGAATGAATAGAAATTCCTTTGTGCAGTATGGGAGCTTGGAGATTAACCAACCAAATTACCAGGAGGTATGAGAGAGCACAGATTGGTTTAGTGAATAGTACTCACTTCCTATGGAATTGTGTTGTCTACACTACTTTCCCAAGGCCTGTCTTCTTAGTCACCATTAGTAACTAGAGCAGTACAATGTCCTCCAAGTCCAACGGAGGGCCCCTATCTGGCTGCTCTGGGGGAGCTCCTCTTCTTAGTTTGGAGTCCCCCCCCCTTTCTCATATCCTGACCAATTTTCATTCCAGCATGGACCTGTACAGCTATATAACCCCAGTCTGTCTTGAGCTTTAGTCTATATCACCTTTTTATGGGAATGCCAATGACCCCATCCCACACCCCACCAATATTCAGGACCGTCTTTGTGGGTTTTTTCCTCACTCTTTCTGAGACTTGGCTTAACATTTGAATGTATCACACCTGTATTTACATCCTGTGGCTATCCTTTTATCATTGTGGTCTGTTTACCTCTCCAATGTAAAAATAAACTTCTCTTCTGGAATCTCTTGGGGTGGGGGTAGGGAGACAGCACTCTCAAAGCACACTTGTCCATAGTGGCTGTGTTGTTTAAATGGATGCAGGTGTGGTAGTGCCATATTTTGGTTTGTTTTTCATTTCTGACCCCAAGTTACCTTATTTTATCTGATACTCTCTTTATTAACTGAATTGTTAAGTTTTCCACCTTTTAGAGATTCCAGGTTGAGAGATGGGCTCTGGAAGGCGCTAACTGAATTTCTAATACCATAGTCCACGTTTTTAAGCTGTGATATAGTGCAATTTTTTTAAAAACTTTCCTTGAGAATAATAACTGATAATAGCTGTCATATCTTTCAATGGGGTGAGGCATAGACTGAGGTCTTGGCAAGTGAGGTATCAGAAATACTTACTTTTATCATTATTACATGGAACCCCGGTGGTATAGATGTTATGTATTGGGCTGTGATCCGTGTGGCTAACAGTTCAAAACCATCAGCAGTTCCACGGAAGGAACACTGGGCTATCTACTTCCATCAACAGTTCCAGTTTCAGAACCTACAGGGGTCTCTATATGAGTCAGCATTTACTCGGGACAGTGTGGCTATGTGATTCATTATTCTTGGTGCTGTTGAAGCACTTCAGTTGCGTCACTACATATATAGGGTTTCTGTTGGTTGATATCTAGAATTAGATTACCAGGCCTCTCTTCCTAGTTTGTCTTATCAAGAAGCACCACAGAGACTCACTGAGCATTATCCCAGCACCCAAGCCTTCATTGACAAACAGGTGGGGACTGCACAGAAGTTGCCATTGGCAGACAATCGAACCTAAGCCTCACATGCGAAAGGTAATAATACAGCCACTGAACCACCCCTGTCCCATCATTGTTATTACACAAAGTGGTAACATCAGAGCCTCCCTGAACAGTAAAATTACAGTTTGGATCATTTTATTCCACTTTTCCCATAATCTGCTGCTCATTTCTGCAAAGGCAAAGAAAAAGGGTACAGATGTGGGTTCTTGTTGAGCTATTTATGCCCCAGCCCTGAAAGACGGAGTGGAAACAGTCAGGATTAAATACTAGTTGCTTTTCCCTCTATTACTAATTTTCCCCTTATTTCCTTCTAATTCCAATTTACCCAAGTCACCTCAGTCCTACTCTGACACACAGGGTTTTCATGAGTCAAATTGACTTTGTGTCACCTTTTTGTTGTTGTTGTTTACATTATTGAAACATAATGATATTGCAAAGAGAGTGTGATTTTGCACTTTGAAGACCCATGTTCATGGTGATGCTGTACACCTTGTCTG